CCCCGAATTCGTTCATGTCGTCGGCTTGAAAGATCAGTACAGTGGAGTTATTAGTTGGAGTTGGACTATCTGTGGTCAAACTACTGTACTCTGAAAAGCGTTTTAACGGTATTTTTCGCGTGTCACGACAAATCTTCACAACCATTCTTCACAAGATTGGAGACCAGTTACAGAAAAAAATTAAAACAGAGCTGCCAGTTTCTTTTTATACTTCATTTTTTGCCAGTTTTTGTTTCTGTCGGTTTTTTCCCCTTGGCCAGTACCTACTATTCATAAGATCGTCATTAAGGTTTATGAAGTAATGGTTACACATTTATGGCAGGATTATGTGTCTAGTTATTTTCCATTGACGGAAGAACATACAGCATGAAAGAGAAAATCATTGATATGGAATATATTTCCGGGCAGTAATTGTTGCAGTAAGCAACGCTTACATTTGAATCCATCCCTCAATTTCTTCGTCTGTTACAGCCATAGAACATGATGTACGATTGAAAACGTACGTTTTACATGTAACACGACGATATTTAGCAATTAGAACATGGATGTTGTTTGTCCTCCATGTTGAAAATCACACTTCGTGTAAATATATTATCAAAACAAAAGGCAGAAACGTTTTACAGCCAAGTATGTAACTTGTTTGTAACACTATTTCTCATAGTATATATCCTACTCCGTGTTAAATAAACGCAGAAATTCGAGGGTAACAAGGCACATACTAATGCCATATTTTATGATCAATTACCTGTATTGTAAATTTCGCCATTCCGTGCCTCTCAAGTCGCTTGATATGTTTTTATCTGATAGTGTAGACTTCCCTTGTTTGATTGGAAAGAGTGTTGGCCAGTATAACGCTTGAAACGACATATTTTTAGCTAACATAGAATTCTCTCTTGTAGTTTTGGTGCTACCCATCCAATGACTTCACAATGTTCATTGACCTTCGAGATAATTTTTCAAAACATTTTTCCAAGATGGCGGCGAAACACAAAGTTTACATGCATTTTACTCGTAGACTAAATAAAATGTTCCAGAAGAAAATGATAATATCTACCTAAACTTGCGATATTCCGGTTGACCACATTTGCAAGCCTATTACTTGCCAAGTTTTTAGATAGCTATACAAAACTATATATCATTAGAAAGCCTATATAACATAGATTCTAAAAATACTCAGGTCTTTCTCATACCTTTAATATTTATCCTACCATCTAGTAATTAAACACAGTGTATGTCTCATACAAATCACTGTTAGTTGGGAAAAAATACAACCTTACCATTTTAATGAAATTTTACCACTAAGAGCTATTTGTTGACTACAAAGCAAGTAGATTGTTTTCAGCGATGGAATTTTTTATGCTGCATGTAGTTTTTGCACAACATTGCTGCAAAATTTTGGTTCGATTTTCTTCCAAAAATCCAGGCATATTTCCTCGATAAAATGGCAGCATTGCAACATATTCCAAATTCTATCGTTGAAAACACTTATCATGATGAGCTCTATTAACACTGAAAATTTCAGCCAGTTTGGTCAAATTGGTAAAGAATTATCTTTTTTCAAAGATGAAAAATACCACATTTCGGGAAAAAGTCTATAAAGTATAAGTTATCAAATATGAACTACCAACTGTTAAAATATACATTATACTCGATATTTTAGACAATTAAAATTGTGCTGGGCATCCCTCATCATCAATTGTCATGTGAAGTCATTTCTTTTTCAAGATTTACTTGTTTATAATAAGAATCATTTTAAATTTTGATTTTTCTACCATTCCGTCCAAATGCTGTTATGTCTTGCATCACCATTTGGTTATCCCGCAGTTTGATGGTTGGTTTAAAAGATGTTCCTGAGTGTTAACAGAACATCCCAATCCAGTTCTCAATTTGTATAGCTAAATTTTCCATCATTTTCTTTGCTGAACCCACTTGCTGCTAACAAGGATGTTTAAAGATGCACACGGTAGTGATGGCACTCATTGTGCTTACCAAAGGGGCATGCAGACCAACATTTTAATACCACAGTTGTTTGTATACAATCAATTGTCGATACCAAATTACATGATTCAATGGTAAAATAAAATTATCTGTAACTGTATTCTTGTCCTATTGCTCCAAGTGGTACATTCGGTGAACATATTCGGCCCAAAATAAGCTCTCAAACTTGGTAGGCCTTGACATGTGATTACAGTCCCTAAAATGCAGCACAGAAACAACCTCATTAATATAAATACCAAGAAGCATTATTATAATTATAACAATGAAGCAAGAAATAATGTATTGATATCTGTACTAAAATTGGGTAGAGGAAATTGATCTCTTGACACAATGTTGTAAATTTGCAATTTTGCAATAATTACTAATTACATTGTATTAAGAATGATTTGCCCCTTTAATACTGCAATATTTCGACTTATAGTAATATAGTAGAATCAATCATTCAATGATAGAAAAATACTTACATCCACAGTTCACCATACACAGCTACTAAGTGCATCAGAACAAACGTTTGAATATCTGTTTATAAGATGCCAAGAAGCCAATACCTGTTGACATTGGTATTGAATGCATGAATGTGTTCACGTTATATCGTCGTCTTTATCGCGCATTTCTTTACCCCAGTGAATAATGTTTCATTTAATGTTTTCTGTGTACCATTGTCCGTTATTTTTAACCAAATGTTAAGAAATATATACACAAAGGTAATCAATATTTACGAAATATTGAAACACATTTTTCAATTTGCTCTGTTTGAATCAGTAGTTCTCGAAAAAACGCATACACGCGCATAATCTTCATGTAGATCCGCTGCAAAATCATCTAGAGATGAGCCTGCATTATTATTTTATATCAGATAGGGGAGGGACAACAGTATATTAGCAAAAACATAAAAAATATGAAGGATGTTGCCTTTCGTTACCATGGCAACCAAGCTAAAAATTATAGTGAGGTTGTTTAAAACAGCTCCTGAGAGAACAATTTTTTTAATTCAACCAAATAAATACTTTCACAACATCAATTACATGCCACACTAACTATTTAGCTCAAAAAATGAAAATCGATTTTTTCGAGTGGTTTAGGTAGACCCCCACCTTAGATAAAAACACACGCCAATATCTCAATCAATAATATACTAGAAAATACATGCATGCAGAAACCCTCGCCTTGCTGACAAAACCATTGTATTTTCCGAACATGAAGTATCTAGAGCAGTTGTCATGGTAACACGATAGTTTTTAAGAATATTCTTACAAATCGCCTAAAAATATCATTTTTAATTACAAAATTATCAATTTCCCAACATATATATGATAGGTATGTTATTATACGTAATATAAGCTTCAATTTAAGGTAAAATTCAACCACAAACGCTTCGCAAAACGTTTTAAAGTGTTCTTTATAAAACTAAACAGCCTTTAATTAAATGGCTTTATCGATAAACTTTGAGTTTGCAATAAAATGATTTCAAATTCTCGCTTGCAAATAACTTTGCTTTCTTTTCTATTTAAAAAATTCAATATAATAAAAAAGGGAATTAATATTAAAGATACACTGAAATTATATGCTGTCTTGTTTAGTTGTTTCATATACGCTAAGCCCGTCGGGTTTTAAACCATTATAAAATCAATATTTAAAACAAACTGACCTTCGTTAACGTCGGCTCCGTTATTTTAGCCGATTCTTTCGCCCTTTCTTTATGAGAAAACTTTTGAAATTTACAAAATCTTGCAAAAATGCAAGTAAAAAATTCATCAATCATCAAATCAAGAAATGTTTGCTATTTCGCTGTCGTCATGCAGTCGTTATAATGCAAACTTTAAATTGGACCAATCAGTGTCCGCTATTCATGACAGTCCGCCATATTTTTGAGATCAGTGAGGATGACCACCCATCGTTGGTCACCCACGCCCGCGATATTTGATGAACTTTAGACTTCCCTAATGCTTTCGTTTCCCCGGGTGTAAAGAGCCGGGGGGAATTAGTACCCTCGCACGGCGCTTCGCGCCGTCGGCTCGCGGATTAACATAATATTCCAACAATGAAAAAAAGATATCGTCTAAGAACAATGCAGATTGATAAGGATACGCTTCGGATGTCAATTTTTCGTCTCTAAAGTGGCTAATAAAATGGCGGAATACAAAACAATTAAAACATTTCGCAATTCGCAAAGCATCACGGTTGACTGTGATTCTTTAAATAGCTAGAAATTAATATCAGCAACATGCAATTACAGATTTGCTGTTCACAAATTAAAGCTACAGCAACTGTGTAAAGCATAAAATCTTGACTTCAAAAGGATTTTTAGATATACTAGCTTCCTTGCATGCTCTTGGTATGAACGATTGATGATCCTGCCGAAATTGACTTACTGACAAACGTTTTCTACAGCCCTCCTACCCTTTTCTTGAGATTTAATCCACAAATTGCAGGTTTTCTATTATGCCAGCCTTATATGTACATGAGGCCAGTGTGAATGCCTCAGCAGGGGCCTTGCTCAATTTGCATAGTACTCATATTTTTATCGAAATAGATCAGTACTCAAAATAGCTATGCTAAAGTCAATTTTTTGAACAATCCAAACAAAGCATGTCGTAATCTTGCGTCAAGTATTGAACTTACAGATTTTAAAATTTATTTCTATTGTGTTTTCGCTCTTCCACTGACAGTGTGCTATTTTTGGACCAGGAACTGGTCCCCAATCGCTGCTAATCTTGTTGTTGTTGTTGTTGTTGTTGTTGTTTTTGTTGTTGTTGTTGTTGTTGTTGTTGTTATTGTTGTTGTTGTTGTTGTTGTTGTTGTTGTTGTTGTTGTTGTTGTTGTTGTTGTTGTTGTTGTTGTTGTTGTTGTTGTTGTTGTTGTTAGGGGGCGACGCTCTTTGAAAAAACCCTAAGGCTCCGTCATTACTTGTCTGATCGGAATGAAATTTAACACAATTATTCTTAGCAATATTCCGCATCGATTGACGGTGTTCGGTTTTTCATTTTTGACTTTAGAAGCAAGATACAAGCAATTTTTGACTGTATTTGTAGCAAATAATATATACATATCATTAATATTCAGCAAATATATCAGCAAACGTAAACGATAAGAAAGACATTGTCTTGTCTATTTAATTGTTGTGAACACAATCACAATAGTCTAAAGCTTCTCGAGAATGAGAATGTGAAAGCGTATAAGTGACTAGTAAGTTTAACACGCGCTGGCTTAGTTTCTCAAAGCGCAGAGGAGTAATATTGCTATCTGGCTATTATACAGTACAGTATAATATTCTTCATAGTCCGATAGAAAATCGTGAACCGTAAAAACAAAGACATGTAAATTTGTTTTTAGCACAAGCATGCAGTTATGAAGCCATGACTAAGCGAGATGAAATTGCATTAACCCAGCAACAATTCAGATAATTTGTTACCTTAACTTAAGCCTCGTACACGGCACGTGCACGACTGTATAGCTGCAATATTTTGCAATTAATGGCACGCACGGCACGGCAAAATTTGATGCACGGCAAAAGTTAGCTGACTTAGGCACGGCATGTTTTTTCTAAATATTGTGGGACATTTAACTTATCTATCGAATTCAAATGCAAGGAAATACTTTTGAAAACTGCGCATTTAGTTATCAATGCTTTGTCCAGATTTACACCTCATTTATACACGGCACTAGACTGACATTTTGCCCGGATAAAGTATACCTTGCATGACCAAATTAAAGCAAAACATTTAGCGAACTCTGTTTACGTTGCCAACTTCGAGAACATTAGTTTCACAAGTGTCTAGTTATTTGTTTATCAAGTCAAAGTCTCGAAGGTTTTGAACATTTAACGATTTGCACAAGATCGACACTGGGTCACGCAGTTCCTGGTCCACTATAGTACGATCTACTTGTTGGTAGACGAACTGTCCCCCAAATTATATAGTATATACATGCAGCATAACGAACACAGGGGCGGATCCAGACCGATGCCAACGATGCGAATGCATCGGTCAAAATTGAGAAATCATGTTGCTTGAAATAATATATGGATATATTATGCTGGATATATCAAACCGCAAATATTTGCTTAAACTTGACTCCATGTGACTGTCCATGTCAGGAATACACTATTTAGGATGAAATCCAATTTAAATAGTCTCAATAACAGTCGAAATTGTCAAAATAAGTCCAATATGCGACGTGCGATCGCAAATGTGTATTTTCTGTTATTTACTTTTTATTTTGCGACATTTAAGCGTCAATAATTTCGCGACAAAATATGTTATTTTTTACCGCATTCTTTGACGTCACACTAGAAAGCTGATGCATCACCTACGTCACGGTAGATTTTATTTGCATCGATTTTCAGCCATTTTGCATCAGTGAATGCATCGGTCCCGAGTCCTTTTCCGCGTGAAATCTACTGTGACATCATCAAATCTATTGTTTTAGAGCCCTACGTCACGGTAGATTAGTCCGCTGAGCGATGTATCGCATGCAGATTGCGGGCGCTCGCATCAGTTCACTGATGCAAATTGCAAATCAAAATCTACTGTGACGTAACGTGGCATTCGATTCAAGTCATGGCGGCAAGGACTGCAAACACTATATGCAAATGACAAATAATGCGAAGAAATATCCCTCGAAATTGATGGCAAGCAAATAATTTACAGTCGAATTAATTACCAAGGTTTGGAATGAATTTAATCTTTCAACTGAGTACAAGAATTGAAGTATATTTATACTGTGAGAATGTGAGCTGCCCACTTGGGCTCTAAAGTAAGTGGAATTTATCTATATTTTACATTGTAGTATATTGTTCAGTTCAAGAAGTGTATAAAGTGGAAAATTGGCTCCACAGTTAATGTAGATTTGTATGTATTAACATAATAATTAAAGTTTGTGTCTATTTAATACTGCTGTTCATACCAGGGGGGAAGGGGGTTGGTTGGGGGATGAGGTAGTTTGAAATTAATTAAAGTTTAATATTACAATTACTTAATATTCTCTTGATTGGTTCTGTGATACCTTGAATGTATGGAACTATTGCATAATCCTTAACAGAGGTATCACCCTCGGAGGTATTTTGGTCCCTAGAAACAGGTAAACTCAGGCAATCATTGAGAAAACGTTTTGGGTAATCGTTTGAGAATCACTGTTTGACGGCAAGGATTCAGCTCTTTGAAGCAAAGTTTTTGCTACGGATCTTTTATGGCTTACTGGGTGATGAGAGTCGTATGACAAATATTTTTGTGTGTGTGTGTGTGTTTGCGATAAACATCAGTCTCTAACTTCCCTTCGACAGTTCTGCGCACATTCAAATCTAAATAAGCTAAATGTCCATTTAAATGTCCCTTGTCTAAATTTGAAACAGCTTTTGATGTTGTTTTAGCCGTGTACCAAACTGGCGTTTAGATTGACCCAAATGCTTTTTCTCGCAGTCACTGCATGGTGTAGAATATACAGCATGAGTTTTCTGATTTGTTTTAACAGGATCGTTTGGCTTTGCGAAAATATGGCCTAAAGTCAAATAGGCTTTTAAGGCAACCTTAATATTACAATTACTTAATATTCTCTTGATTGGTCCTGTGACACCTTGGATGTATGAAACTATTGCATAACCCTTAACAGAGGTATCACCCTCGGAGTTATTCTGGTCCCTACAAACAGGTGATCTCAGGCAATCATTGAGAAAACGTTTTAGGTAATCGTTCTCCCCTAAAACATTTAGAACATATTCACGTTCATTAGCTTGAGAATCACTGTTTGACGGCAAGGATTCAACTCCTTCCAAGTTTTTGCTACGGATCTCTTATGACTTACTGGGTGATGAGTGTCGTATGACAAATATTTGTCTGTGTGTGTGTGGGTTTGCGATAAGCATCAGTCTCTAAGTTCCCTTCGACAGTTCTGCGCACATTCAAATCTAAATAAGCTAAATGTCCATTTATCTCACGTTTTACCGTGAATTGGATGGACGGCTCAATAGATTTTAAATGTTGCAACAGAATATCGATTTCATTTCTAGAAACTGCAGAGATGACATCACCGACGAAACGTTTCCAAAACGATAGATTGAGTTACCGGAACAGAGGCCAAAGCTATTTTTTCGACATCTTCCATTACTAAATTAGCAATTACTGCCGATACTGGTGACCTCATCGCTGTTCCAAAAACCTGTTGATAATAACAGCCCTCAAACACAAAGGATGTGGTGTTGAGACAAAAAGACAGAAGATCAATAATGTCTTCTATAGGCAAGGATGTTCTTTGTGGCAAAGTGACATCCTATCTTAGTCTTATTGGCGCAACCTTAATGGCAAGATGAACTGAGATGTTTGTAAACAAGGAAACGACATCAAATGATACCAACACTTGATCAGCTTTAAGAGTTTTACCTCACTTACAAATTCTGCAAAATGGCAGGAATTTTTGACAGGGTTTTTGGTACAAAATTTTCGCCAAAAAACTTGAAACGCCATATGTAGGAGAATTCACAAAGGACACAATAGGTCTCATTGGAATTTCCGGTTTATGGATTTTCGGTAAAACATGGAAACGCGAAGATAGTCCATCACTGCTGTATATAGTCCAACACGGCCTAATATTTGCGGTTGTACTTGTGCCTAACAGAATTCCAACAACCGAAATAATCATTGCTTCAGTTGAAGAAGGAATTTTTCCACTAGACGATAATGCTATGCGTTTGGTAAGAGCTGAGGTCAGTAGCATTCTTAGACGTTCTAAAATACCTCCAAAAACATTTATTGGAATGTTTTCAAAGCTTTACTCGATCTTAAGAAAGATCCGGACAGGGTTATTCTTTCAGCGGACAAGGCATTGTGTTGTTGTTATGGACAAACATGAAGACAGAGAAGGCTCTTTCACTGTTGAATGACAGAAATACGTATTCTACTCTCAAGTCTGATTCCACTGGAAAGACTGAAAGAGTTTTAAACGCCAAGATAAGTCTCTTGAGGAAATCCATTATTATCAGCACGGCGATGGACTAGCTATCTCCGCGTTTCTATGGTTTACCGAAAATCCATTAACCGGAAATTCCATTGCGATCTATTGTGTCCTTTGTGAATCTCCTACATATGGAGTCTCAAGTTTTTTTGCGAAAATTTTGTCCCCTGTGGTGGGAAATACCGAAAACACTGTCAAAAATTCCTGTCCTTTTGCAGAATTTGTAAGAGGTAAAACTCTTAAAGCAAATCAAGTGTTTGTATCATTTGATGTCGTTTCCTTGTTTACAAACATCTCAGATGATCTTGCCATCAAGATTGCGACAAAAAAACTAAGATAGGATATCACTTTGTTACAAAGAACATCCTTGTCTATAGAACACATTATAATGATCTTCTGTCTTTTTGTCTCAACACCACATACTTTGTGTTTGAGGGCTGTTATTATCAACAGGTTTTTGGAACAGCGACGGGGTCACCAGTATCTGCAGTAATTGCTAATTTAGTAATGGAAGATGTCGAACAAATAGCTTTGGCCTCTGTTCCTGTATCTTAATCTATCGTTTTGGAAACGTTTCGTCGGTGATGTCATCTCTGCAGTTTCTAGAAATGAAATCGATATTCTGTTGCAACATTTAAATTCTATTGAACCGTCTATCCAATTCACGGTAGAACGTGAGATAAATGGACATTTAGCTTATTTAGATTTGAATGTGCGCAGAACTGTCGAAGAGAAGTTAGAGACTGATGTTTATCGCAAACTCACACACACACACAGACAAATATTTGTCATACCACACTCATCACCCAGTAAGTCATAAGAGATCCGTAGCAAAAACTTTGCTTCAAGGAGTTGAATCCTTGCCGTCAAACAGTGATTCTCAAGCTAATGAACGTGAATATGTTCTAAATGTTTTAGGGGAGAACGATTACCTAAAACGTTTTCTCAATGATTGCCTGAGATCACCTGTTTGTAGGGACCAGAATAACTCCGAGGGTGATACCTCTGTTAAGGGTTATGCAATAGTTCCATACATCCAAGGTGTCACAGAAGCAATTAAGAGAATATTAAGTAATTGTAATATTAAGGTTGCCTTAAAAGCCTATTTGACTTTAGGCCATATTTTCGCAAAGCCAAACGATCCTGTTAAAACAAATCAGAAAACTCATGCTGTATATTCTACACCATGCAGTGACTGCGAGAAGAAGCATTTGGGTCAGTCTAAACGCCAGTTTGGTACACGGCTAAAAGAACATCAAAAGCTGTTTCAAATTTAGACAAGGGAAAATCAGCTTTAGCAGAACATGTATGTTACCCCAAACACGAGATTGCGTGGGAAAACTCTAAAGTAATTACCACAAACAATTGCTATGGTCAAAGACTTTGCATAGAAGCGTTGCATATAAATATGAGTAATCATGTTTTGAATAGTGATGACGGTCACGGTGCCTATTTGCCAGAGGAATACATGCATCTCGTTGGCAGGTGACGTCATCCCTTGGGTACTTAAGAAGTCACGATTGCATCTTTAGATCACCCCTGATGAAGACACTAGAGTGTCGAAACGTTGGGTCTTGATTACAATTCGTCTGGGCTTTGCAATAATTTATTTAAACCAGTGTAGCGAGTACTACCGATATGATTTTCACCTGTTATATAAGAAACGGAAATTTAGGTTACTCGAAATTTACTCAGCAGGATAATAATTATAATTCGTTAGTAAAACAAGCCCAAATTGACAGTTAAACCACATACAGCGATACAAAAAATCTTAAATGAAGTACATGTAGCATGTTTGATAGGTAGAACCGATGAACACAATATATTCCGGCCAAAAACTCAATTATCAAATAT